AGCAGGGCTTCTCTCTCCCTCTGCACTGTTGACAATTGGGACTGGATCATTCTCTGAGGTGGGGGATGTCCTGTGCATTGTGGGATGTTTAGCAACATCCCTGGCCTCCATCCACTAGATTTCTCATAGCACTCTCCCCCTCTCCCCTTTCTTCCTCCCACAGTGGCCCCTGGTGAGAAGCCGTGCTCTGGTGTCTGGTTAGGGGAAGCAGTAGCAACAGCACCTCATCCTTTTGTCTGTTTTTGTGACATCTAACAGAAATAAACCCAGTTTTTTCCCTCTTAACTCTTTCTTTGTCTCTACCTCTCCCTTTCTCTACCCATTCCGCCTGTCATCTGCACTGCTTTTCCAGCTGCCACTTTCCCACCAGGAGAGCAGACTTTGAGTGAGCTCCTCAGACTTTTACCAGGGCAGGGAGTGATGCTTTACCTGTGTGTGTATGCTTGTGAGGCAGAGTAACCCAGGCATAGACTTCATGCTGCAGAAGCAGGAACGAGAGGGGTGGGCAGAGAAGTGGGACAACATCTCAGTGCCATCATGTCATGTTCTGTGTTTTATCTTATTCTTGCAATAGTCTCTTTGAAAGACATCATTACATGTCCCATTTTACAGATGAGAAAGTTGGGGGTCTGAAGAGTTTTAGTTTGTTCAAGGCTCAGTAACTTCCTGTCTGCAAAGCCCAGAGCCCTTTTTAATTATTTCTGGTGTCATGTTTTGGCAGCTCCCAGTCCAGGGAGTGCTTTACTAACCTCTGTTCCCATCATTTGTTTGCAGTTCCTTGAACATGTTCTTCCTTGAATTTTCTAAATTGTGCCTGACCCTTTGGAATCATAGATTTTGGCACAGCGAGGGAAAGCAGTTAACAAAACTCTAAGTCTCATTAATGAAAAAAGAAAAATACAAAGCCTTGAATTTATTTATGTGTGTTATCATGCTATAAGGAGTAATCATTTGAAGCCCAACTGGATTCAGTGTACCAAACAGGGTCAGGATTCTGATGCCTTACTAGAGCTCTTCATGGAATGATTTAAACCACTTGGTCATTGCCTTTCTCCTCTCCTCATTTCTAGAGGATTTCAACAACATTGGGCCGAGTTAAGAAAGTGGGGAGGTGGCCTTTCCTTTAATTTGCCACATTTATTGCATGCCATCTCTGGGCCTAGGTGCACCTGGAATGCAGATGTGTGTGACATAGAGTTTACCTTCTTTCATGAAATTGGGGGAAGGTGGTGATGGAGAAAAAATAATTACAAAACCAACTGCCCCAACAGGTTTGAGTAGTATGCAGTGGTTGAAGTTGACACAGGAACCTCCTTAGATGGAGCCATTGGAGCAGCTGCACCACAGAGGCAGATTTGAGGGCAAGATCAGGAGAGCAGAAGCCATGAAGACACCAGGGCACTTGGTTGGAGAGCATTGGCTTATGTAGGAACTGGCAGACGTCCAGTGGGAAAGGTGGCTCTCAAGTGAGGGGAGAACAGTGGGAGTAGATGTTGGGGGTCAAATAGGAGCCAGTTCAGGGAGGGCCATAGGGTGGTAGTGACTACTGCAGTGGTCTGGGCGAGAGGAAATGGTAGTTTGGATGTGGTTGATCACAGTAGGGACAAGAGACTAGATGACAGTCGCCACTAGATTATGTGGAGTCATCATGTGAGATGACTTGTTGGGTGGAACCATTTACAGAGCTGGGGAGGAACAGAGTTGGAAAGGGATGACAAAGAGGTGGGCATCAGTAATTACACTTGTGTTCCTTTTGAGATACTTGTGAGATGTCCAGGTGGGATGTCAGGCACACCGGCGGGCATACAAGTAGGGTATCCGCTATCCATGTGGGGGCTGTGGTAACCGTAATGCAGCAAGGGCTGTGAAGTGAACAAGATCACGCAGGGGGAGAAAACCCGAGAGAGAAGGTCAAGAAGGAACCACAAAGGGGACAGCCAGGGGATGATGTCCTGCAGCCGAAAGAGGAGGATGTTTGAACAGAAGGAATTGGTGCAGTGGAGGTGATTAAGATGAGGGCAGAAGAGCATCACTGGAATGTGCAGGCGAATCTGTGGGTAAATCATTGTCTACTGAGAGTTAAATGTAACCTGTAGTCATGGAGACCTACAGATCAGGGTGCTCTGTTGTCATCTCCTGGGATAGGATGGCTGCAGGAGTTCTGAAAAGTTCAGGGCTCCTGTTGCATATGGGGTCATTGTTGAGGGCATACATATTCTCAGTACAATGTTCAAAAGCAAGTAGCACATATTCCTAAATGTTCTGATGTATCTCATAGATGTATCTTTCTCTGACCATTTTATTTGTAATTTCTTACCTTTCTATAATTTTGGAAGTTAGAAATTTCCCTATGTTATCTATACTAACAAAAGGGTAATATGCTATTGGGGGGCAGTTGGGGGCAAGAAGGCTGGTGGGGGGCAGCTGGAGGAAGAACAGAGTGGTTAGGGGCAATCAGGCAGGTGAGCCGTTAGGAGTCAGTGGTCCCGGATTGCAAGAGAGATGTCCAACTGCTGGTGTAGGCCCAATCCGGCAGTCAGACATCCCCTGAGGGGTCCCAGATTGGAGAGGGTGCAGGCCAGGCTGAGGGACACGGCCTCCCCTGCACTCCCACAGGGGGAGCACCGTTCAGCCACATGCCGGGTTCATGGCTGGTGAGCGCAGCAGCAGTGGTAGGAGCCTCTCCCGCCTTCATGGCAGTGCTAAGGAGCAGCAAGCCAAGCAGTAAGGAGCAGCTATCAGGTGGGCGGTAAGGAGTGAGGGGTCTCAGACTCTGAGAGGGCTCCTATACTGCAAAGAGGGTGCAGGCTGGGCTGAGGGGCACGCACGCATGCACGGGAGCACGGATGCACAATTACGTGCACCAGGCCTCTAGTATTTCATAATTATAAGATGCACATGTTTGTTGGGTTTTTTTACATTGTAGCATATATGAAAACAGGACTTTTAGAAACAGTCAAGTTTTAGAACTTATAAAATACAGTATGTATGCTCTTTTAGTTGCTCATAATTTGAATTCACAACACTATTAAACATACATTCACTGTACAGCCTTCCAGGACAGCTTACATGGATAAAAGAATTTTAAAGGTATTTAAATTTTACTGCCCTAACTCTGTGGTCCGCAAACTGTGGCTCGCGAGCCACATGCAGCTCTTTAGCCCCTTGAGTGTGGCTCTTCCTAAGCCTTAGGAGTACCCTAATTAAGTTAATAACAATGTACCTATCTATATAGTTTAACTTTAAAAAATTTGGCTCTCAAAAGAAATTTCAATCGTTGTACTGTTGATATTTGGTTCTGTTGACTAATGAGTTTGCCGACCACTGCCCTAACTAGTTTGGCTCAGTGATTTGATTCAGTGGATAGAGCATCAGCCTCTGGACTGAAGGACCCCAGGTTCAGTTCTGGTCAAGATCACATGCCTGGGTTGCGGGTTTGACCACCAGTAGAGGGTATTCAGGAGGCAGCCAATCAATGAGGGAGTATGCAGGAGGCAGCTGATCGATGCTTCTCTCTCATCAATATTTCTAACTCTCTATCCCTCTCCCTTCCTCTTTCTTCTCTGAAATCAATAAAGATTTTTTTAAAATAAATAAATAAATTTTACTGACAAAAGAACAGAAGCAAGTTTGAGGGGAGGGACGATTATGTCATCTTTCTGTGGATTGGGGTTGAGGTCTAACGGGCTACCTCAAAGGAGAGGCAGGCAGCAAATTGTGGGAAGAGAAGTAGTTCCAAAGCAGTCCTCTGAAAGATTATGTCACCTGATTCCTGGTGACACTGTCCTTCCATTTTTTTCAGAAAACATCTTAACACAGAATGAGGGAGCATTTGCAGGAAGGAGGAAAACGGGCTCCAGGTGGGACTGAGTTGTCAGTTAGGTATTGCTGACCTTCATGACAGTCAGGTCCAGGTTGTTTTTAAAGGAGCATTGTTTGGAAGTGGGACACATCTTGGGTTTAATTTGAGAAAGGGCCT